TAAACACTCCATTGTGATTAAATGAACTTAAAACCCATCTTTTTCGTCTTTGGACAAATTAAAAGAAGTAAACAGCTTGCTTCATAATCAATTTCCCTCACACCTCTCCCTAATATAACACTAATCCAATATATATGTGTTGTTTTACTGCTAACAACCAATCAACAAGTTCAAAAGAAAAATTTTATGCCAGTACATACAGATTAAAGGCATAGAACTGGATAACTGGTAATAAGAGATGAGGGAAGAAGCAAATCCAAAGGCCCCTGTTACACGACGATTAACTTTCTTGGGTACCAGTTGAAGAAGTCCTACTGCTACGACTATATCCATGCCTGCTTTAATCAGTGGTAGAGACCTCTCATTTGACTATTGGAGTTTAGCACGGTATTGCTTATTCTGCTTTCGTAGAATGGCAATAAGTTAGAGAACAATATAATACTGAAATTTAAATAGGAGAAGACCAGCTATGGCCACACAGAAAAATAAACACGTTAAAGCAACAGGTTCTTTGTAAGATATGTTTGCAGATTGCTTCGAGCTGTTTTATGACATTGCATTGCATTTGCGGCTTTTATAGTGAAAGGGAGGTTATTCATTTGGGTGTAAAATGAGCTATAGGAGTATGTTGTTCTAGAACAGGCTTTGGGAACAACGGTTAACAGAGTTCCAGTAGTGTATGTTTCCCTGGGGCTCCTCCGTCCCTTTATATGTTTGCTATAGGAAATCTCCAAAATGTTTTGAAAAAGATGAACTTCTGTTCTCATGATAGTTCATGGGATTTTTGGTGTGGGCTATGGAGTGTACCTGTAGCACTCAAGCTTTTGATCCTCGGTGGCCAACCAAAAAAAGGAAAAGGTTAAAATAAGGATATAAATTTTGTTTTTTTTTCTTTAAGGATATGAATTTTTTTTTATTTTTAAATTAGATGGTAAATTTTTATTTTTTAATTTAAAAATACAAATTTTATTTTTTTTAAAAAAATTAAAATTATTATTTATACATCATTTATTAAATTTGTAAATAAAAAATATCAAATTTGTATCTCTATTTTTTTAAAAATTAATATCTTATCTAAAAATTTAAAAAATTCATATTGTTAAATAAAAAAAACCTAAAATTCGTAACTTTATCTTTACATTTTTATTTTTATTTTTCAAAAAGAGGGTTTTGATAGTCGGTGCCAAATTGCTAACCCTTTCAAGATAAAGGAGAGAGAAAAGGCAAAATTGTGGTTTAGCATGAATTTCTATCAACTAAAAATTCAAAACGAACGGCGCCCATAGATGCTGAGTAAATAGAAAGAAAAAACCAAGGG